CTCTCCATGTTACGACCAGTTCGTCTTCTTCATTCAGGTTCCATTCGACGGCTTGACAACTGGTCTTACATGCTGAGTGTCTCCTCAGCATTTGTGCGATCCATCTGAATTTCCTACGGAATAGTTCATCGGCTATAGTTTCTCGGTTGGTTGATTTGTTCCCAGAATTCCTTGTTGTTTATGCTTTCTGATGAAACGGTCATCTGAATTTCAGTGCCAATGTCTGCAGCAGGTTGTTCAAGATTCTGTTGGTGACGCGTGTGCGCACGTACACTCTAATTCTCTGAGACATGCATGCCCACTGATTTGACATTATTGTTTTCAAAATCGAATATTACTCCTTATGTCGTTGATCGCAGTAGATTTCCACAGAGATTTCAGAATAATGAAGATTTGCATCAGTTTTTCGTTCGTGCTTTGATATTGTCATCCGTGTTACATAACCAGGAAAGTGAAAGAGGTGACTTTGTTGAAGTGTTCCCCCGATGACGGGGAGTACTGCTTCTTGTTGCTGTTGTTCTTCTCGGTCAGATATCCACTTCAGTTTTTGCTTCTTCTTCATGTTCACTGGAAGTTCTATCTCCATCCCGCCTCAGTTTCTTCTGACAACTTGTCGTTTTATATCTGTAGATATTCGAGTTTGTCTAACATTTGACATAAATCATCTGTGAAGTCCAGGTCTTCTAGGATCTTCCCGCCAGTACAATATCTGTGTACACAAGAAATTTGATAAGGTGACTGAAGGCAAGACTGCACTATCCTGCCTTCTTCAACTCATTTTCGAATAAAAGGAAAGCGTAGTGAATGAAGTCCTTGGATATGAACAGACTATATCTCTAAAAACGTTAAGTTGAAATAGGCACACCCAGCTGGTGACAGACACAGACACAGTAATCATCACACAGCATCATTTGTTTACAGAAAATACAACGGCGAACTGCTCTCTCTCTCTGTGTCTCTGTCTCTCAGCCCCCAAACTGAGTGACAGTACACAAAAGATGAGACGAAGAAGTAAGTAAATTGACACAATAACTAACGTATAATTCACCAAGGTTATATCAATTGGTCTCTGATCATGATCAAAATAAGTAGTGGGCGTATTTTATGTAGGTCAGTAATGATTCGTTTATTCACAGACTGGATATCGATCAGGGTATCAGAAGAATAGATTGACCTGAAAGGCCTTATCTGCTTAATAATATTGTATCACACTGCATGTTCGTGTGTTATTTCAGGCAAACTTATCCAACTAATACAGTCAGTCACGTGAGGCTTGAATTTGCAGCCAGCCAGCGGATAGACAGCCGATCAAGCCAAACCAGCTAAAAGTTATGAGCACAATGTTTTACCGATCATAACAACAACAACAGAAACAACAACAACAACAACAACAACAGAAACAAACAAGACAACAGCCTCATCTTCAACGGTTAAAGCTCTCAATGAGTACAATTCTAATTTTAAAACAAATTCAGTGATATTCAAGTTATGAGATTTGGGGTGATTTGGAGTAATTCGAATTGTTTGATTTTCATCAGAAACCAACACATCAGCCACACAGAGAGAGAGAGAGGAGCGGGGAGAGATGACTGAAAGGCAGTAAAGAGGAGCAGTGAACATCTGTAATGTCCTATTTCAGGCGTTTTTAGCAGTGCTTCCCACCGACATCATGAAGGAAGGAAGGAAGGAAGGAACACGATGTCTTCAGATTACCAGACTAAGCTTGTTGACTGTGATTCAGTCACTTGGGCCGGAATTCACTCACTTATCGATAAATTCCTCCGAATCGGCTTCTATAGTTGCTATATGTCCATTATGATGAAGGAAATATTCCTAGCGACAAGATGAATGCTTTTTAAAATGATACTGAGTCAATCGATAGATGAGTGTAGTTCACTAAATCATCATAAGTAAGAGAGAGACAGAAAGAGAGAGAGAGAGACAGATAGTAGGCATTAATATACCACTGAACCGAATGAATACCAAATGGGATAAATCCAATGAAGTAATCACACAGAACTCATGAATTTTCGGGTTTAACAAGGAATGAAGAGGGTAGTGATCGTGTGTGGCTAATTGACTGAACGTGTTTGTTTTCCACGAAGAGCCCCGGTTGACCTGAGTAAATTTCAGTGGCCTCTAGTGTTTGGAGTTTTAGGTATCTGGTGGAGTTTTTGCAATTTATTCGATACCCGGTGGATGACAGGAGAAGACTCTTCAATGATAGCCAGACTTATGGCCTATTTGCACGAGGTTGGGTGGTCCACTATAGAACTGTTAACAGTTTTGACGAGAGCTTTATTTAGCCGCAGTGAGTGGTAGGTGTCTCCGAACCAGCATGAAAAATTAAGTCTGTGGAGCAAAGGCCAGCCATTAGAATGGGCTCAAGAGGAGGGGGCACTTGAAGTGATGGATACAATTCTAACTGGGTCAATTCGTGATGTGGCACTACTCTGAACGATATCTTCGATAGCAATCCACTTCAGCTGGATATTGTGGGGTTGGGTGGGTGGTGAGTGCACATGACCTACTGAAGAGTACCATGCTCAGAGGAAACAGCTCTTCAGTGCTCCCAGTGCTGCTTTTCAGCCATCTGTGTAACTGCTGTTGATTTGTGTCGAAAATCTGCCAGACGGGATTCAACAGCATCAGAAAGCTCTTGACAATTCTAGGAGATTTGAAGTTGGCGGGTGATTTATGTCTCATATCACATGGATTCGAAAACATGCAGGGGAACTGGGTACAGCAAACTAGGAAAAGCAACACGGACACTTATCACTTTCAAATCAATTTGGAAACCGGTTGCACCCGACATGAACAACAAGATTCGGATCACATTTTCAACACCAGTGATAACTTAGTTCGTGCTTCTGTATGGACCAGAGACTCGACGTGTCGTCGAAAGCATTTCTAACAGGATACTGCAAACTTTCATCTGCACCTGGCTTATTTTCTCAATCCCTGCTGAAGATCAGATGGACAGCGGAAAGAATTAGCGACAAGAAACTGTGCGAACGAAGCAATCAAGAAACGATTGTGACGAAAGTAACAAATATCCCGAGTAAAATGGAAATGGATGCATCGTATGCTGAGGAGGTAGCTGGATGACCCCTCGCTCCAAACCATTATTCGAGTGGAAGGTGAATGTGAGTGAGGCAAAGAGTTGGATTTCCTATGGTTACCTGGAGGGGCTCGTGTGAGAAGGAGATGAGAGTGTACTATTAGTCGTTAAACCGCCTAACCCAGACTGCAGAGAGCAGCATAAAATGGAGGTGTTCCGCCGAAACACCATGTTCCATTTGAAACCCAAGGGAACAGCATATATATATTATACATGTGCACATTTGTAAAGATTCATACAGCAGTCACATAATTCATTCATTCATCAAACAATGAGTCATACTGTTTTGTGTATTGACCCTGTAATTCTGTACACAAAGTACCATAGGATGCATTCATATGCAGTATGCTAACTACCTCTGTTGGTTTCTCTCAAGCATGTCCCGGCTATGACTCAATGTAGGGTTATTAATGTGTGTGTTTCTCAGTTTGTTTGAGAATTATAATAAAGACTGAGTACATTCTGTGTCGACATTACTGCTACACTATACTCATACGAATGCTGGCTGTCTGAATTCCACCTATATCCGAATGGTACAATATTACTTCTACTGTAACGACAGAAGACAAGGCAGTAGCCAGGCAACAGGTCGCTTATTGAGAAAATCAGCAGATATTTATAGATTTTTGTGTACATTATTATTAGGGTTACGGTTAACAGAGAAGCAACGTCTACTGATTGGTTGTTTTCCTGCAGAAGGTTATTCTGTCATCTCTTTGTTACCGTTTCTTAGACAGTCCAGTGATGTATATATATATATATATATATATATATATGTCTGAGAATCGTACCCGCCGAAGCTAAGTCTGCTGTGATTGGTCGTTGAGTTCCTCAAGGTTAGGCTTTGCTCTTGTTTTTCCTCATAACCTCCGATTTGAGACGTAAACATTGACGTCAGTTGCTGTCTACAATTTTGTCTTGCAGATAGTTCTCACCACACTTCCACTATCTGGATACTTCTTATATTTTTCTGCATATAAAATCGGGTCAGTGTTAACCGAGTGTTGGTTTGCATGGATTTGATTGGTTTCAGGATTTCACCATGAACTGACATCGTTTGAAGAATCACTGGAAAATCAGCCTAGAGTATTGAACAGCTAATTCGTCAGCCTAGTTTAGGACACCGAATAAGCACACATCTAGCGTCAGTGTTCAAACCCACGACCTTCGGTTAAAAGGTGAGCTAACTCGTCGACCATTAAGTCACGCAATAGGGACGTGAGGTTGAGGCCATATGTTCCTCTAGGACCTAAATAAAACAATAATGTAATATAATACATTATAACAATAATTTCTTACTACTCTCATTCGTGGAAACATAACTGCATGTGAATTGGCTTGCATAGCTAGACAGGAGATTTAAAAATTCGCTAATCACAGCCTCTTCGCCGAGTGGTATACAGATTTGTAGTTGTGAGGAGTTGGGCGAGATAATTTCTTTTTGTTGACTTGTGTATTCCGTATTCGTAAATCACATCACATCACATGAGGTAGGCCTACTGCTGCTGTTATCATCATTCTTATTCCCGTAGTTCGTGATAATCTCAATCTTACCTACTTAGTTCAGTCAGCTAACTGAGTGAAAAAACTTCACATTCTATGGCGAAAATGAAGAAAATGAGGAATACTTCACATTTTTAATAAAGAAAAGGTACAATTTGTTAAAAATGTGACTGGTGAAGTAAAATTGACTGTTAATGATGATGATGATGATGATGATGATGATTTGTCTAAGCAGTAAAATGAACGAAAGAAAGAAATAAAGAAAGAACACAGTCGAGGGAGGCATCATCTACTTGCCCACCACACGCTGATTACCATTCTCACTCCTTAATCGACTGTCTGATTATTTCACAGCGAATTGGTGAATGACGAGATTTTATTTTCTCCAAATATCCACTTTTACTTCTACAGATTTATTGTTCAACTTCTCCTTTGGTAGGTAAAGAGACAGAATATTCCCTGTCATATTTTTCATTATGTAATCTGGATGTAGATTCAGCTTAAATCCATTCGGATAATGAACAGATTGTGGTATGTAAATCTCTGCAACCAGCACGACTTGTTCATCAACAACACTTTGATTAGATGGTATTTGAGCAACGATGGATTGGTGGAGTGTAGAAAAACAGAAATGAAATTCTCCCGTCTTATGATTGAAACGAAGTTTCTTCAGTTTACCATTAGTTGATTGAGGATAAGGTCGAATGAAAGATTTCACCTGAAAAATAAAAGTGGAATAATGAAATATAAACAAACAGACAAACAAATACACACACAAAAGACGATTGATTCAATAACAGTGTCTTATCCACGCCAAGTAAAATACAAAGTAGCATTATACTGGAGAGAATGAAGCATCGCCTGGATACAGAACTCCTCCAGCCACACAGGAACAAGCTCTCTTGATTCAGCGAAGACAAACCATGTGATGATCAAATTTCAGCTCTACGCCACGTCATCACAGAACAAAGCATAGAATGGCAGTCAAACCTCACTCGATCTCAACTTCATCGACTTCGAAAAGACCTTCGATGGAAAGAGTTGACGGAGAATTAATCTGGAGACTACTTCAACACTACGGCGTGCAGTACCCAAATCTTTATCAACCTCATTCAACATCTGGCTATATAATGATGATGATATCACGTGTCAGATGATCCACAACAGGAAACTCGGCGATGTGTTCAAAGTGCATACAAGTGTAAGACAAGCTGGTTAGTTGGTTGACTGTCTATTATCATCCACGGTGATATTCCTAAGTGTGGATGACTAGATTAGGCGTCAGACTGTGAGTTGGGATCGAGGAGTCAGGAATACGCTGGACCACCGGTAAGAAGACTCTAGAAAATCCGTATTTCGCGTGTATGTGACTTATATTCAGTGTCACACAAACTCGACGACTTACGGGTGGAAACTGGTAACAAACTTGCTGAAGAAGCTGGGTGGATGCCTGGCTGTTAGCGAGAACAGGACATTATGCATGTGATCATTGAGATGTTTTAAATAGAGATGATGTAGGTAACCAACCAACATCATCAACATCAACCAGCACCATTCACTATTAATGGGATAGATTTAACGGGGTTTACCTTCTACACTTATCTAGGCAGCCTGCCTCGTTTCAGCTACAAGCAGTCGGAATGGATGAAGATTTCAAAGGCAGTCAAAATCGAAAATGCAAGATACACGTACATCAACCTACAAACAGTTTGGCAATCTTCGGCACTCAGCATAAGGAACAAGATTATAATTGTCCACACCACTATCAATTAGGTCCTTCTATACGCGTCAGAAACTTCTATTGCGTGTAACGAAAAGAATTTACAATAGTGAGCTGCAGACTTTCACCAACATCTGCCCACTTCGCTGACTACATACTGAAGATCAGATGGCCAGAGAGAAGGAATTAGTGACAAGAAACTCTGGCAATGAACAAACAAACATAAACTCGATCATGTGAAGAGCTTTATGAAAAAGAGATTATGAGCAGTCGTGGTGTCAGCCAGCTGAGGAGGACAGCAGAATACAGAAGAAATTGGGGATGTGTTGTTGAGGCCAGCCATATGTTCCACTCGGAACCCAAGGGAATAATACCAACAAATATTCAATATTCAGAGGATTTCGGGTATTGCTGAAAGAGCAGAGTTAAATTATCATGGCCATAGTCAACGTCTGTCAATGGTTGGCCTTCAAGAGCTAATCAGACACTGGAGTGCATTAAGAATGATAATCTCAGATGAAAGCATGCCTACCTTTTGGAATTTATTGATGGTGGATAAAGACTGTATTTCAAATTATCCCCTAGGTGCTTTTTCTGTGAATGTATACTATCAGTTAGGTTGGTAGGTAGATTGTTATGGTTACGGGTTTCAAGATTAAGGCTTAAGGTTAAGTCCACAATTTGGCTGGCAGTTAGTATTATGGTTAGAGTTAGGAGTAAGTCAATGAACAGTGTCAGAAATATCAATTGATCTCAATGTACCATAATTTACAGTCGCCTGGATGAATGCATGGACGTGATAGATCTATCCCACATGGTATTACTTCTCTATAGATCATACATGACAAGTATATAGTTTTGTACCATAACCTCAGTAGGTTTCGATGCATTTTTCAACGACTATGGGACTGTTGCAGCGAAGAAAATTTTCTTTTCGACGAAGTCATCATCTAGGCTGTACATTCGTGTATTTATATCAAATGGGTGGGAAAGTTCCAGAATAATATCCGGTCAAGGGTCAAATTAATAAAAATTAAAATTGGGAATTAGAATGCCATAATAAACAGGGGGATGGATAAAACAAACAAAGTAGCATTAAAATAACTAAGAAGACTGACATTGTGCAATTAGGGGTTAGAAATGTAGAAATAACCAAATATACAGGATGTTTGGATAAAAACTAATGTGATGAATAATTGTTTATGCAATCAGGGATTAAATATGTAGAAATAGTAAAATGACAAAATAAACACTAAGTTCGGGTATGAAAATATGGTAGTGTAAACAGGGATTAAGAAAAACTTGAAATAACATGAATAAACAGGAAGTTTAGATAAGAAAGGCGATGGGATGGTGATTACTAAAAATTACCTGTTTATGATGGCCATGGCAAGGACAGGGGTTGGACGTATTTCTTTTGTATACAAAGCGTGGGTTTGAGCTTTTGTATAGCTAGCAGACTATGGGACTCTTTCGCATCCGAATTCTGATTGTTTGTCCAAAGTCACTGCGATTTTGGCTATGAAAGTTTAACGTTGCAGCTGAAATTTTCGTTTATTGGGCTGATTTTCTAGTAGAATTTCAGCATCGGGTCCCAGTGACTTAATGATCTACGAGTTAGCTCGCCTTTTAACCGGAAGATCGTGGGTTTGAATTCTGGAAGCGAATCAACCAACCGAGAAACTACAGCCGATGAAATAATCCGTAGGAAATTCAAATGGATCGCACACATGCTAAGGAGACACTCAGCATGTAAGATCAGGTGTCAAGCCGTCGAATGACATGGAGAGTATCATGGAAGAGACCATGTAGGAATGAAGTGAGTGCTTATAATCAATCTTTCGGTCAGTTAGAAGCTACTGAAGAGAACAGAACGAAATGGGCACGTAGTTATGAAGCCGTATGTTACACTTGGAACTCGAAGGAATAATCATGAATATTATTATTAATAATGATAATAATACTCTTTGAGCAGATCTCTTCAATAGTACTTGAACACCGAAGTGTAAAATGTGGATAGAAACTTCTAATAGTAAAAAGTTCAAACAATCGATTACCTGACTGTCAATAGGATTTCCCATTTCGTCGAGAAAATTTCCATCCCAGTAGGTCCACGATTCAAAGCGTTTATCAACTTCATCAAGTATAGCATTGCATTCAACTGTATTCACACTATTTGCGTTTCCATCATCTCCACATATGCCGAATTCAGTTAGAAATCGACCACCGCCAGTCCTCTGCATAGCTTTAATAGCATTCGATATAACATCCGGTAAGAGGAACTAAATACAGAACAGGTAAAATGTTAATAACAAATAATCAATATATCAGAAATATACTCCGAAAACTCTGTACTGAGATGACTGATGCAGTGAGTTATGACAGTAGTTTGATGAACTGTTCGCCGAGAGAAGAACAAGAGGTTCAGCGAAGATGTCTAACTTTTCGGCGATTTCATTCTCAGAAGCAGCTATAAAATCGCATTTATTTACATAACTTAACTTACATACATTTATTATTTAATTCCACATAGTGTCGAAGGAGTAAATTAAAGGTGACAATAATTTCCAAATTGACATGGAAATTAGAAGGTGTATGAATTTACATTACTAGGCGGTTAGAGATAACAGTTCCAATGTATGTAAAACAGGTTGTTTCTTTTAGATTAATATTTTGACAACTCGAAAAATAATTCCAACTAGATATAAAAGTTCAGATGTGTGAATAACGGTTACAAGGGACTTGGACAAGAGGTAGAACCAGTTTCTTTTGAATGCACAGCTCAAGTTTTTCGTTACATATGGTGAGGGCTTCTACAGCACGAAAAAGTCGGAAACACTCTGACCTTGGTAGATTTTTGTTTACTTAAGTTTGGCATCCATACTGGGTAATGTTCTCAAAAACACGATTGGTTAGGATTTACATAGAACAATCTATGTGCTTAGCTCCACAAGAGCAGGTGAACTGATATATGCATATTGAAGTGGTCATACGCGGAAGTCGGTCCCTCAGAAAGCTTCGAGGCAGTGGGCGTCAGAAGAATATCAGCATAAATTATTGCTCATAATCGTATCAAGGCACTCACACAAATTCGTGCTTCATTCATTTACATGTATATAAATGCAGCAAAAACGTTCTGTGAGTAGTGCCTTGAAATTATTATAAGCAGAAATGATAATTTGTGCTCACAAAGTCGTCATCAGTAAATTTAACTTCATAACACTGTGTGATTTTATCAAGATAATATTTTATCCATAATGGAGTTATACTTCACCACCATAGTGCCCAAGTTTTATCCTTATATCAATAAGTTGCTCACTTTGTTTTCAATTTGATGGTGTTGAATTTCATTTGGAAGCCATTAATACAGCCTAGACCTTGGTTAGTAATTTCAGAAGACAAAAATACGGAGACTGAGCAAAGAATATTCGCATTTTCGATATCTACTCTATCTATGTGTACATGTATACATAATATTTCGAAGACAGTCGTTATTGACAAACTAATGTGCAGGTGTTGCTTTTCAGAGATTCGATTGGCTTCAGGATTTCATCATGAGCTGACATCAGTTAAAGAAAGATTGAAAAGTCAGCGGAGAGCACTAGACAGCTGTATGCATCCACTCCACTGGGGTTTGAAGCCACGTCCTTCTGGGGAAAGGTGACAGAGAGAGAGAGCTCTTAGATCATTCGCCCACGCCGACTAGATCCTGTCATCTCATGGCTTTTTAAATAATAGTCAGTTGTTGTCATCAAAAGAATTACTGTTCAGAAGTATGCGATGTAAGTGGTACTGAATGAATGTCAGATCAAATACAGGAGATTTATGTGACAATTAAAGGTTGTTGAAACAATGGTGGGCATTTAAAGCGAAGAGTCTGAACTAATTTCATCTGTACATAAATAAGTTAAACTTCTTGATGATAGATTCTGACGTCTCCAGCCACATATGTTCTACAAAAGACGAACTTGGAAAGTAAAATTAAGAATAGCCAGAATACAACAGATAACTTCAAACGCCTTGTCAACATCAACTTTGTGTTCAATGGCTAAACCTCTCTTTGACCTCATCTTCTTCACACACAAAATAAATGTGATGCGTTCACAAGACATTTTAGCTTGCCTTCAGACTAAACTTAGTTTTTTTTACCTCACCAGTTGGTCGTCTTTTGTATGTAGCTAAAGCTGTCGGATTCTACTTGATGAAGCCCACCTAACTTGTGTGTTCAAAGGAAATTCGTTCAGACGCATATCCCAGCCTTGATCATTGCCTATCACTACCTACCTAACTTGAATTGCCTAATTAATTCTCTCCTTAGTTTCCATGCTACATTCAATTTAGTATAAACAATTGTTATGCATGCTATCACTATTACACAGCCTTCTTTGATGAACTGTAATTCTACTGGTCTTAACAACTCGACACTATTTGAGTAGAGACATGAATGTTGAAAATAACCGTGGAGATGAATGAGAATGCTATCAAAAATGTGGATACTCTTTGATCAGTCTTCTTTTGTTTTTCCTTCTAAATTTTAAAACAGGAATTTTCGCCATATTACGAATAACCTCGTCTGCCAGTTTGTTGTCTATTTTCTCCTGCCTGCGAGTCTTTGGGATTGTGTGACATCCAACGACATAAATAATCTCCGCATGAAATCCAGATCTTCTAAAGTCTTCTTGTCTTTTGTTTTCCGTCGTCCTCTTTGGCTGACTATCCTCACGATCGCCCTCCATTTCACACGATCATTTCCATTTCATCCTCACACTGATGACTCACCAGTCTCTTTCCAACCGAGCAATGTCATTCAACGGCCTCCTCAGTGCTTGTATGCCCGATCAATCTTCACTTTCTCCTAGATATTTGTTGAACGTTGGGTTCTTGGTTAGTTTTTTTGCCACAAGTTCTCGTTGCTTATTAGTTCTGGCCATTTTGGCTTCAATATGAAGCCAGAGAAGACAACTGTTGATGTGTCTGGTTGTAACAAATCCTTTTCGTGATGCGCCACCAAGTTTCTGACCCATATAGCAGCACTAACTGACCGACGTCACATTTGTGTTGAAAATCCGAATCTCATTATTTATGCTGAGTCATTAAAGCAGTTCAGAAGATTTCCAAATTGGTTTCAGGTTGATGAAAGCGTATCTTGCCCTTTGGATTCTGACTGGATTTGAAATCTGCAACGGTAACGACTGCCTCTAGTTGGGACGACCCTGGCTGCCTAGTTAACTGAAGGAGGTAACCTATGTTAAATCTCTCCTGTTTATGGTGAATGGTGCTGGTTGTTGTTGATGATGTTGGTTGGTCATCTTTATCACCTCCATCTTCAACTTCTCAGTGTTCACCCTAGAAAGTGTTCTGTCTTCGCTGACAGCCAGCCAGCCAGCCAACCTCGTCAGCCAGTTTGTTGCTAGTTTTCGCCTGCCTGCATGTCTTCGAGATTGTTTGACATTCAACGACATAAATCATCCACATGCGAAATCCAGATCCTCTAGAGCCTTCTTATCGGTCAGTGCAGCGTATTCCTATCTACTCACTCCCGAATCACACTATGGCGCATAATCCAGTCCACCACAGTTAGATATATCATTGTTGCTGATAACAGGCAGCCAGCTTGTCTTACTCCTCTGTTCACTCACTGCAAAGGCAGGCTTTGCTTAATTTTCCATTGTAGATCACCTGATACATAGCATTGTCATTTAGCCAACTGTTGAATGAGTCTGATTACGATTCAGGCACTACACGCTGTAGCGTTGAAGCAATTTCCAAATTATACAAAATATTTTCTAGTATTCTTAAATGGTGACCTTACAAACACGCACACACGTACCCACCAAAATTGTCTACTGATATTTCCAACTGACTAATTAATTTCAAACCCACATTCGTTCTGGTTTCTGTCACACTCACTACTCACTTTTGCAAAGGGAAAAACAAAACAGTCAGAAATTTACCTCATCACAAACAATTTTCTTCCAAAACGGCATAGTTGAATTTGAATTTTCTGTCTGTAGAATCCAACAGTAATAATGGTAGGATAATACACTTTTATTCGGCGCTGATTTATCTTTATTCGCTCCTGGTACACGTTCGAATCCTGTGCCTAACCAACTCGTAGTGAAAGGAGTAAATATCCCATATGTAATGGGTTCATAAAATATCAGTGTCTCAGTATCATGTTTCCGTATTCGTTCGACCAGATAATCGTATACTGGTTGCAGATTATATCGTCCAGCGTAACCTGAAGATGACGATAATGATGACGATAATAAAATAAAACAAAACACAAACAAAAGAGCAACATACGGCTCGGGAATAGCCAGCATTCGCCGTCGGTAAACGTGATCTGTGAAGATTTACCCTGATATACATAGAAAACTACCAAATGTCTAATATTTTGTGAATTCTTATCGAGCATAAACTGCAAACTGACTGAGTGCACAGTCACACAGTGAAAATGATGATTTGTCTAATTACCTCTACATGTGAGTTGGTAAGTTAGTTAGTTAGTTAGTTAGTTAGTTAGTTAGTTGGTTAGTTAGTTAGTTAGTCAGGTAGTTAGTTAGTTAGTTAGTTAGTTAGTTAGTTAGTTAGTTAGTTAGTTAGTTAGTTAGTTAGTTAGTTAGTTAGTTAGTTAGTTAGTTAGTTAGTTAGTTAGTTAGTTAGTTAGTTAGTTAGTTAGTTAGTTAGTTAGTTAGTTAGTTAGTTAGTTAGTTAGTTAGTTAGTTAGTTAGTTAGTTAGTTAGTTAGTTAGTTAGTTAGTTAGTTAGTTAGTTAGTTAGTTAGTTAGTTAGTTAGTTAGTTAGTTAGTTAGTTAGTTAGTTAGTTAGTTAGTTAGTTAGTTAGTTAGTTAGTTAGTTAGTTAGTTAGTTAGTTAGTTAGTTAGTTAGTTAGTTAGTTAGTTAGTTAGTTAGTTAGTTAGTTAGTTAGTTAGTTAGTTAGTTAGTTAGTTAGTTAGTTAGTTAGTTAGTTAGTTAGTTAGTTAGTTAGTTAGTTAGTTAGTTAGTTAGTTAGTTAGTTAGTTAGTTAGTTAGTTAGTTAGTTAGTTAGTTAGTTAGTTAGTTAGTTAGTTAGTTAGTTAGTTAGTTAGTTAGTTAGTTAGTTAGTTAGTTAGTTAGTTAGTTAGTTAGTTAGTTAGTTAGTTAGTTAGTTAGTTAGTTAGTTAGTTAGTTAGTTAGTTAGTTAGTTAGTTAGTTAGTTAGTTAGTTAGTTAGTTAGTTAGTTAGTTAGTTAGTTAGTTAGTTAGTTAGTTAGTTAGTTAGTTAGTTAGTTAGTTAGTTAGTTAGTTAGTTAGTTAGTTAGTTAGTTAGTTAGTTAGTTAGTTAGTTAGTTAGTTAGTTAGTTAGTTAGTTAGTTAGTTAGTTAGTTAGTTAGTTAGTTAGTTAGTTAGTTAGTTAGTTAGTTAGTTAGTTAGTTAGTTAGTTAGTTAGTTAGTTAGTTAGTTAGTTAGTTAGTTAGTTAGTTAGTTAGTTAGTTAGTTAGTTAGTTAGTTAGTTAGTTAGTTAGTTAGTTAGTTAGTTAGTTAGTTAGTTAGTTAGTTAGTTAGTTAGTTAGTTAGTTAGTTAGTTAGTTAGTTAGTTAGTTAGTTAGTTAGTTAGTTAGTTAGTTAGTTAGTTAGTTAGTTAGTTAGTTAGTTAGTTAGTTAGTTAGTTAGTTAGTTAGTTAGTTAGTTAGTTAGTTAGTTAGTTAGTTAGTTAGTTAGTTAGTTAGTTAGTTAGTTAGTTAGTTAGTTAGTTAGTTAGTTAGTTAGTTAGTTAGTTAGTTAGTTAGTTAGTTAGTTAGTTAGTTAGTTAGTTAGTTAGTTAGTTAGTTAGTTAGTTAGTTAGTTAGTTAGTTAGTTAGTTAGTTAGTTAGTTAGTTAGTTAGTTAGTTAGTTAGTTAGTTAGTTAGTTAGTTAGTTAGTTAGTTAGTTAGTTAGTTAGTTAGTTAGTTAGTTAGTTAGTTAGTTAGTTAGTTAGTTAGTTAGTTAGTTAGTTAGTTAGTTAGTTAGTTAGTTAGTTAGTTAGTTAGTTAGTTAGTTAGTTAGTTAGTTAGTTAGTTAGTTAGTTAGTTAGTTAGTTAGTTAGTTAGTTAGTTAGTTAGTTAGTTAGTTAGTTAGTTAGTTAGTTAGTTAGTTAGTTAGTTAGTTAGTTAGTTAGTTAGTTAGTTAGTTAGTTAGTTAGTTAGTTAGTTAGTTAGTTAGTTAGTTAGTTAGTTAGTTAGTTAGTTAGTTAGTTAGCTAGCTAGCTAGCTAGCTAGTTAGCTAGCAACCAATATGAGAAAACCAGGATGATGATGACGATAGTGACTGTCTTGGGAAGAGTATTTGTATGACACTGGCAGAGCACAACACGAGAAGTGTAGCAGTGACATTTTTCTGTTTCCAAACAGGCAGCCTCCCCCACACAGTTGACACTGTCGTCTCAACTGCAAGGCGAATGAATTGTGCATTCAAAGCTATTAGGCATCGGATCGGACCTATGAAGCAAGAATGCCAGCCAGGAAGCAACTAAGAGAGGTGTTCATGACTCTGAAATAAGTGTCAGCAGGAAGATATAAAGGAGTCACGAGAAGGAAGAAGACCTGAATCTTCAATACTAACGTGAAGTCATTTGAGAGAATTGACGCCAACGACGTTCACTTCCTACGAGGTGTAAATTTCCATTGGTAACTCACTAACTTGGTTGCCTCCATACTGCAGACAACATGGTAGTGAACCAATTAACAGCCTATTACCCCTTAAAAATAGCATAACGAAGAAGGGAACAGAGATGGTTTGTACAAATAATAATACGAACATTAATATAAATGTAAAACACGGTATGTAATTCCAAACGAGATCAGTTTACTTTAAATATCACACACGGGATGCAGTATTAACAACTGGATACCGTTAATACTCAAATCTGATGAATCCATTAAGTTCTGCCTCTATTAACAACACTTGTTGCTTGTTTTAGTGTATTTATTGGAGTCCATAGATCGCTCAGCAATTATACTGTCTTACAGTGGCTATCAAACTCTACTGAATAGTCAGTCTCCTTAATCTGAAAATGAGTTTTCCAGGCATCAGAATTCCTGTGAACTAAAATTGTGCAGACAAGTGGTAGGTTTCTCGTCGATTACTATGATTATTATTATTGTTCCCTTTAGTTTCACATGGAACTTGGGTCTTCAACAGCACATTTCGATTTCACTGTAGTCCTTTTTAGCTGACCCATTTGCAGTAGAAAATCTTTCAATTCCTAATTACACTATCTACTCCATACCACCCATGAACCAACCGACACCCAGCTCGTCTTCTCCCATGCAGGTTTCATACATGGGCTAGCCTAGAGAGTGATTTCATTCAGTGGTCTCCTCAGAGTGCTGGGCTGCGGCATTTTTACTATCCCTCGCTTCCATCAGGAGACAGGAACACGCTGGATCACCGGTGAGAAGACTCTAGAAGATCTGGATTTCTCAGATGATGTATGTCTAGTGTCATAGAAACACGAAGACTAGTAGGTAATCAAAAACTAGCAACAAACTGACAGAAGAGACTGACCTGCTGGCTGTCAGCGTAGACAGAACTCCATCCAGCTGAACACTGAGAAGTTGGAGATAGAGGTGATGAAGATACCCATCCAACCAACCAACTAACAGCAACAACAACGAACAGCGAGAATCACCATAAACAGGAGAGATTTAACATAGGTTACCTCCTTCAGTTAACTAGGCAGCCAGGGTCGTCCCAACTAGAGGCAGTCGTTACCGTTGCAGATTTCAAATCCAGTCAGAATCCAAAGGGCAAGATACGCTTTCATCAACTTGAAACCAATTTGAAAATATTCTGCCCTCAGGATAAGGAACAGGATTGGAACTGTCAACACAAATTTCGCTGAGTTCCTTTCCTACAGGTCAGAAAATTTTACTACGTGTCACGAAAAGAATTTCCAGCAGCGAGCTGCAGCCCTTCATCAACAGCTGCCTCCGCTCCATACTGAAGATCAAATAGCCAGCCGGCCGGCCAGAAAGTAATATTAGCAAGAAACTCTGGCGATGAATGAACAAACCGACCGAGAGCCGATCGCTCAACAAATATGTGGGATAAAGTGGAGATGAATCGCGCTTGCATTAAGGAAACCGCCGAACGACATCGCGCTCAAAGAAGGCCATTGCTCAAGTGAAATCTCAATGGGAGATTACGAGTCAGCCGTCCTAGTATGACATAGAGGGGATAGTGGGAGGAGGAGACGCGAGATTATGAGCAATCGTGGTGTCAGTCAACCGAATAAGACGGTAAAAATAGAAGAAAGTGGAGAGCTGTTGTTGAAGCCAGCCCTATGTTCTACTCGGAACCCATCACACGCTTTTGTGAGTCATTGGTTCAATGGTATAATGTCTCACTAACCAAAAACACTAAATCCACATTCGATTCCAAAACAACCTTATACTACTACTACTACTACTACTAATGAATCCTGGTTAATCAATAGTAAGATGCAAAGTTGGCTATTAACCTTAACCGACAATTTTTTAGGGCTCAAGCTCCAAAACAACTAAAGGACACCGACAAAACAAAAAAGTAACAAACATCATCTCATGATTGATTTACCTGAAAGACCACGTAATGGATTTGTATAATAGTTACCCGGTGGCGGTTCATTGATCAATTCATAACCAAGTACATTTGTAGTATGCCTGAATCTTTCGGCAATCACTTCCCAAAAATCACCCCAATGACTCCATGAATTCGATACATTATCATATAACTGTTGTGCTGCATTACTACACTCATAAGTTAAATAATTACACATTTCACAGTTTGGTGCTTGTTTATAAGGCCAAGGATATTGTAGAGCATGTGATGATCTTTTGAATTGATCAATCAACCATAGTGGTATTCCATCGTATGTACCATAACGAGATGACAGAGCATCTTGATGCATGTCTAATATCACATAGATATTGTACTGTGCAAACAGATTGACTATTTTTTCAATTTGATCTAAGTATGTAGTATTAATGGTCGATTGATGAGGATATACTCCACTCCACATCACTTGTAAACGAATTGTATTGATACCCCAGTTTTGAAACATTTTCATCTGTGTTATATTCAACACTTGTTGAGAATACCATGGAAAAGATTTTTGAACAGAATTAAATCCACGAAATAACTTGATAAATCCACGAGTGTCAATAAATTGTCCATCTGTATTCAAGGTTATTTTATTCAAGCCAGTTAGTTGTGTAGATCCTGGTTGGGGTGATGATGATGATGATGATGACTGGGTCAGAAGAAGTAGAAGAAGAAGAAGGATCAGGAAACAGGCAATCAACCAGACAGTATCACGCATAATTGTGTAATTTTCTACACTCTAATTAACAGGATAGAGGCAATGAAATATATATATATATATATATATTATCTACTTATACTAATGTACATATTTACAGAAGGAAGTAATTTTTTGCAATAAGTGTCAACAAAAAGGCGAAAAATTCTATTCTGTTTAATTAGTATTATAATTGCGTGGAATTAAGTGATTACTATTATTACTATCACTATTAATATCTTAAATTTTATGTATGTATATATTTACAGAAGGAAGTAAGTTGTTAAAATAAACGTCAACAAAAATACGAAAAATTCGTTTCTTTATAATTACTATTATTATTTCCTTTAATTCCTAGAGGAACATAGGGCTTCAGGCATGCGTCTCAATTGCGTTCGGTTCTCTTCTAGAGTTTTCACCAGTTCCCAAGTCTGCCCACATGCTTTCATCTCCTCTACACGTCACCTCCTCCAGATCACCCTCGAACTGACGACCAACTTGCCACTTCCCTTTCGGGTTCCACTCGAGCAGCGGCTTGTCTAGTCATGTCACTGCTTTCCTCAGAGTATGGCCAATCCGTCCCCATTTCTTCCTACCTATTTGTCGCACAATCGGTTCCTGTCGTGTTGGTTCGCTTACAGAGATCCCTTTCGGTGATATTTTCTGGCTGGTCATCTGATCTTGAGTATTGAGCGAAAACAACTGCTGATGAAGGTCTGTAGTTTGTTTGAGATGCCCGTTATGACGCTCTGGCCAAGTCTCTGATCCGTATAGTGTGTCGCACTGACTGACTTCACATTGGAGTTGAAAGTCCGGATCTTATTTTTGATGCTGAGTGCTGTTGACCCCCACACAGACTTGAGAGTAATAAAAGCTTGTCTTGCTTTCCCGCTCACCGCTGCTTTGATATCCTTGTCAGTTCTGCCTGTAGTTGAAACGATGCTTCTCAGGTAGGTAAAGGAGGTTATTTCTTTCAGGTTCCTCCCATTTATGCAGGCTGATCATTGTCTGTTGTTGTTGGTGGTGGTGGTGTTGGCTAGGAATCTTCATCACCTTTGTTTTATCTATGTCCACCTGGAGTACTATTTTCTCTGGATTCTTCTTCCGCCAACTTGTTGCTTTTCACTTGCATATCTTCTAGTTTGTGCCAAATCAGACATATACCACACGTGACGTCCAGTCCCTACAGGCTTTAGTGTGGGTCCATTTTATGCCCATCTCCTCATCGCCCACTGTCTGTCACATTATCCAATCCACTGCAATCAGGAAAATCATTGGCGATAGTAGACAGCCTTGTCTCACTCCCGTTCTCACTTCGAAGGCTTCCGTAAGTTTCCCGTTGTGGATTACTTGGCATGCACCATTGTCGTATAACTGTTGGATGAGATGTATAATTGTCGGTGGCATCCCGTAGTAGCGAAGTATCTGCCAAATCACTTCTCGACTCACTCTATCCGCTGAAAGCCTTTTCAGTGAATGGAGTTGAGAAAGGGTGGTGACTGCCATTCCAAGCTTTGTTCAATGATGATCCGTAGAGTGGCGATTTGATCAATACATGACTTGTTTCTCCTGAATCCAGCTTGTTCAGATCAAAGTTTTTCATCCATGGCTTGTTTGATTCTCTCCAGGAGGATGCGGTTTAGTATTTTGCTTGGAATGGACAGGAGCGAAATGCCGCGCCAGTTCTTACATTGACTTAAGTCTGCTTTCTCTGGAAGTTTGAATAAGTATCCTTTCTTTCAATCCTCGGGTACCTTGCCCTCTTTCCACACCTTCTCCAGTAGTGGCGTCATCAAGTCCGCTGTTGTCACTGGATCGATTTTTGATTTTATTTTTATTTTTATTATAGCTTGATTCCACACTGTATTTTTGGTACAAGTATGGAATTTCCAGCATGTGATATCGGTAGCTCAAATTTTGCAGGCCAATCACAGATATCAGGTGTGCATCGTCAGGGCTTCGAACCTCGGACCATGGATATGGTTTGCGAGAATCCTAACCACTGTGCAACCGACGCACATTTTCAATGCTTTTGTTGGGATTCCACCTGTCCCTGTTGCTTTTCCAGCTTTTAGCATCTTGATTGCATTCAGGACTTCTGTTTTCGTTGGTGGGTTGATGTTCACTGGTAGTTCTGCTTCCGTTGTTGGTATTGTTGGGCGCGTTTTAGGTGGTGGTCGATTTAGAAGTCTTTTGAAGTTTTCAGCCTAATGTTTCCTTTGCTCCACTTCTTTGATGATTGACTTTCCATTGTCATCCTTCTCTGGCTGCCGCCAATCACTAATTCATTGAAGGCGCAGAAGTCAGCGAAGAGTTCTCCATTTTCATTCATTTCTCCATAATGAGTTCCTTTCCTGTGTTGCCTAGTCCCAGTTTGGCGTTCATATCTCCTATTAGTATGTCACCAACTGGAGTATTGTCCATTGCTGCCTGTAGTTGTCTGTAGAATTCTTCTTTCTTTTCGAGGTCTGTGTTATTTGTGGGTACATAGCATTGTATAACTGACACCTTCCTTCCTTTAGAGTTGAATGTGGCAGTCATTATCCTGGGCGCGATCGCCTCCCATTGCATCAGTGCCTTCGTTGCCGTTGGCGATATCATGATAGCCACGCCCTCGGTGTGTGTGTGATTGTCTTCTGGTTGACCGGATTAGATCACTGACTCTTCCGTTGATAATTTGGTGAGTCCATTACCATTCCATCTGCTTTCATATATTCTCAGTGCTTGAATTCCGTATCTTTTCATCTCGTTTGCGATCTGGGCAGCTTTGCCAATCTCGTACATGTTGCGGACGTTCCATGTCCCCACACAGTATTTTTCTTTTGGCGAAAGGAGATTCATAGTGCTGAAGCCAGCTCTTGTGCAACGGGTCATATTGTTTTAATTTAAGTCTAGATTTTCCTGTGTCCCAAGTGGTCTTGTGGGTAACGCTTTGGCGTTCGAAACTATGGCCACTGGGTTCAAGCCTCGGTGGGAACATCATCACTCACTGAGAAATGCAGGTACATCCAGATGACGAGTCCCAAAAATAGGACGAAATGTGCATCTTGACTGTATTCCACTGCTAGTCAACATCCGCCAATTAAATACTAAATAAATACCCAGACATCGCCCAAGCATCTGCACAAGAAGCTGACATGTCAACCTGAGACCGAGAACTTCGGTTCAATCAATCGACGGAAAAATCTAAAATTAAATAAAATAAACTATTATTATTGTTTGGAATAAAGTGATTATCATTTTTATCAAAAACAAGCTGGGATTACTAGATAGCTCTTTCACCTCAGTCTTGGATGGGCACTTCATCAGCATGCATCCACCGAATTTCATATCGTAAATCCTTCCGACTATGAGGTGAGCTCGTTTACCATTCAACAGCTGGGAGCTGATCCAATGGCTACCTTATGAATATCAACTTCTACTGATTCATATAAACATATATATGTTTAAAACTTGGGCACTGTGGTATTAAGTAATTTCACATTAGTTTGTATATATATATCACACAGAGAAACAGTATTATCTACTGGATTACGTTTCGAATAAAATTTATTATTCATAATCATATCAGTTGTAATCACACGACTTCGAAACTTATACACCTTACACATCTGACCGTCAAACTTAGTCTAGAGAGACAGCCAATATATCTCACTCACTCCACCGCAAGTGCAGTAACTTCATCTTGCAATTGAGGAATCACCACCAGTTTTCCTATGCAAATTTCCCTTTATGCTACCATCTGGCTTTCTTCTAAGGATGACATCTAGGAAGGCAATTAATTTCTATTTTTGGATTCCTCTTCGCAGAATAATTCATCAAGAAACACATGACCACTAGAGTTGAAAAGGACTATTCACTATGCGTAGATAAGAAGCCTTTACACTTATGACTGAAATTCAAGGGTCAAATAATTCGGAAGAAGTAAAGAAAGTCAGTTCAAAGAACTTCTAATACTGGTAAAATACTAGTCTTATTTTCTACACGACTCATTTGAAATCCTCAATTGAAAGATGAAGTAACTGCACTTATGGTGGAGTGAGATACATTGGTTGTTGCTCTACAAACTTGATTTTTCATGCTCTCTTGGGAACACCTACCAGTGTTGTGACTAAATAAAGGTATAGTGAAAAACACCAACAGTTCGATATTAGAACACCCGATTCAAACCGACTGGCTACAAAGCTAATATTGAAGTGTCTTTCTCTGTCATCATCTATGGAGTACCAAATAAATTGCCAGAAGCATCTAGGTACCGAAGACTTCAGATAGTAGAGGCTACAGAGGTTCGCCTGAGACGAGCGATGCTCTGTGTGCTGCAGCCACTTCTACTACCCTGGCCGGCCTTCAGTAGAGACTATAAATTCATGAATTTGTATTATTATTGTCTTTCCTAGTTTTTCTGATATTCATTCAGTGTATTGTTATGTTGATGCCATCGAACTGTAATCCACTGGTATTATTATTATTATTGATTCGATGTTATTTAAACAACAGCATTAGTGTTGTTGTTCATAACACTAATTCATTCATTCACTATTATGGATGGATGCATATAACTGTAGAACTTGATGATGAGGAGCAGGTTATCGAAAATATGAATATTCTCTGCTCAGTAACCACATTCTTTTATAAATTTTAATTCACATTTTCAACCAATTTCTCGTGTATTATTTCATATCACTGTATTCTAGACTTAGTTTGACGATAGGATGTGTAAGAACATTTCATAGCTGAAAATCAGAGAGACGGAAAATTGTAAATATATTGGGGGATGTTATATTGTTGCATATAACTAAGAAAGATAAATTAGCTTGAATACCACCCATCCTCTTTTAATGCATAAAACTCTTTTTGAATTTTGAAAAAAAACCTTGTCAAAAATGGATATCCTCGAAAGTTTATTATTAAAATATGCAAGTGTAAAAATCACCTAGAATGAAACTCGAAATAGTTGAAAGGAAACCGGTTAGTATCTCTGTCTAGAGTACAAAGGCAAAGAATTACCCTAAAGAACGGTA